TTATATATTTTTAAATAAGTTTTGAATTTCTATTTTTTCAGATATATCTTCTGATATTATATTATTATTCTAAATAATTTTTAATTAAAATTTTTCATTATAATAATTTTCATATAAAGTTATTTTTTATTCAATTTTAATTCAATTATTTCTTTTTATTTAATATCAAATTAAAATTTTTCCATAAGAAAATTACTAATCAAAGTAACATAATCATATGCGGCGTTTCTTGCTAATTTGAGGACGTGTATTGTTATCATTCAAACCGAGAACTTGTTGTTGGAGAATAGAAGTAATATAACCAGCAATTTTCTTTGCTTGTTCCATATCTTTACTATCAAATTCACAATAATGTGGACCAGATACTTCCACTATTGGATCCTCTGGAGAGCCAGCCCATCGAATAATATACCATTGTAATGCATTTGTCACAATTCCATACATAAGAACTGGAACATCTTCACTATCATCTATTTCATCTATACTACGCTTTTGTGCTAATGTCTAAAAAAAAATATTAAATTATACATTAAAATAACAATAAAAAAATGTAATAATAGTAAATACTGTATAATATTCTTTTGACCTCTACAGCACTGTGTAATTGCACAATGTTCTGGGCAGCTCCTTTCTCAAAATCTTCTTTCTTAACTATTGCAACCAACATAACTAGACCCTCACTTTCCAAATAGACAGCATAATCGGTGGGGCCAAAGCCACAGGATCCATCAAGCCACTCTTCAGCTTTAAGTTGAAGACCTTCTTCTGTTGATTGGACACATTGTACTGCTGTGGTCATGAAAGCAGAAATGAACTCTCGGCAGGTTGATTCATTTCGGACAACATGTTTGAAAGTACGTTTATTTTTCTTAAGCTCATCAATAAATAATTTGAGTTCTTCCGCATTAATTTCAGGTTTAAGTTTTTGAAACTCATCATCTGTGATATAAAAAATCATATGATAAACCATAAACAATGGCACCAAATCACGGTTTCTCGAATGAAAAAAAAATATACCTATTTTAAATTCACGAACTTCGCATATGGAAGATCCGTCCTGATGCAAAAACTTCTTGAGAACTTCGCCTATTTCCCAGTCACCATATGCTTTCTTACCTATAGAAGGAATAAACCAAATGAGAATTCATGCAATTGCTATATCTAATCTAATTCAATAATTTATCAACCTTTAACCCGAATAGAAAGACTGATTTCACGTTCATCACTGCCTTCTGAAGGTTTAATTTTTGCTACTATATTATTGAGCGAAAACTCATTCTTGATCACTTCCTCTTCGCTTTTCTTTTTATCTTTACTATACACAAAAAAATATTGGGAGTTGCCTGAACTCAAGGTTTCCCATTTCGTTTCAGCTTCATAACGTATAAGGTACCAAAGACCACTGTTGTGTGGAAGCCTTTCTTTATACCATGATGTGGATAGACTGCAACGAACAACGACTACAGACAGAAGAAAAACATGAACACAAGACGTATAGGTGTAACAAAATACTTAGAAATCTTTACCTTGAGAGTCAGATAATGGGTAACGCACAACAAGAGGATCCGAGGCAGTTGTATTCAAAGTATTAATAAGGGTATCCGGACGAAGAGATGTAATACGGTCATTGTATCTAAAGAA